TATAAATACAATTTTTCGTCCACGTTTCCGGCGCACGATCAACCGATTTAATGTTTCAAAAAATATTCGATTCCTATTGATAGGAAGATGTGGTGATTAGTTTTTGGCAAAGGCAAGTCCAGCCGTTTAGAGATACAAAACAAAAAAACAAAATTTTGAGAGTACGGAGTATTTGATTTGAATGATTAAAAAACGCGGATGGGCAGAAAAAAATTGTTTCATTTTTTTTTTAATTTCAAGAAAATATTTTTTAACTAAATTTTATTCTTCGAATATTTAATTATGGTACGGGAAGTTCCAGCAATTCGACTCTACATATCATGCCGCACACCACTAGTTTGATATTATTTCGACATTTTTTATATATTTTCGAAAATAGTATTTTGTAAACAGTTGTTCGCCCCCCGAAAAGCGCGTCCCACAGATTGGAAACCGCGGACTTAACATAATTTGTAATCAATTTAACATATACTATTTTAAAATTACAAAATGCCTGCACCTGCAGTACTAGAAATTTCATGTCCATATGTTTTGCAATTGTGTATTTATAGTATATGATCGATAATAGTAAAATTCTTATAATCATATATGATTTTTTATCTCTAAATTCCGTTGAACCAGCAAGGCAAATTCCAAAATACGATTTAATATTTTCCGACAGATTCCACTTCAGCAACAACAGCATATGTTTCAAATTGTCTACTTCAAATTTTTGTATCGATCTATTGATTAGTTAATGAAGACAATCTATAGATTACAATAATCTATAATCATTCATTGAGTAGGTATTGTCAATTTAAAAAATTTCTTTTCTAACGAAATTATTATCAATCGCGCTTTTTCATGATACGCATTTCACGTATCTCAAAAATGTTAAGAAATTCGGGTTTAAATTAATTGAAAAGTTTCCATAATTATTATGGTCAATAGATTTTTAGTAGTACCATATGGAATGATGATGTTCCACATGGAATATAGGTGCACATAATAAAAGAAACTAGTGGTGTATGGCGTCGTGCCTTAAGGCAAATTGCGGGAACTCCCATACCGAACACTAAATTTAAAAAAAAAACTTTGAAAAAATTTGATTTTTGACAAATTTTAAAATTTTTGAAAAAAAAAGATTTTTTGTATTTTGTTTTTTTTTTAATTTTGAACATTTTTTTAAGCGATCGCGCTATTGCAAAATAATATTTGTGGATTTGGGTTGGTAAAAATAAAGGCGGTAATTATAAAATATAAAAAAATTGTAAATAATCGAATTTATCAATAAAAATTGAGATTTTTACCATCCTTGACTGTCCCATTTGAGGGGACAAAGTAAGTCCATCATATCATTCGGCTGTCTCCTCTCAGGGGACAAAGTAAATCTAGTATTTCACTCGGGCGCATATCATGCCACCAAGGATTATAAAAATACCAAGTATTTTTTCGTATTATTGATTTAGTGTTTTTTAATTTTACAACACACAGGTGGTGTTTTCGACCGATAAAGATGCTTAGAATCAATTGTCATCTTAAGTGATTTGGACACCTGTTTTAGTGATAAGATTGTCTTAAGTTGTTGAATGAATAAAAGAGGGACATGGCAGTTTGTATACACAATGTCTCGGTTCATATCAAAACATCATTTAAGGATGGATCAAGGATGAGCAACATGCGACTCTTTAAATATTTTTCTGCGGCCCACAATTATAAAATATAATTTTATTTATATTATCAAGTTTTTTCCATCAATAAATCAATTATAATGTATTTTTTTTTTTGTTGCATTAATTCATGAAATATTTACTTTGCTTCAATTTAGTATGTTTATTAGGGGGCGTCCATTATTCACGAGATCGATTTTTTACTTCGACATGGGGCAAAAAATAATTATTAATTATTGTAAATGCATGTTCTTTAATGTCCACAATATAAATTCCTATAAAACAAAATTGCATACAATGCACAGTAATAATATCAAGTTCACACAGCAGGTATGTTTTCGTAAGAATGTGGCGCCAAGTTGCTGGTAGATAACTTCCGAGTTGGTGTGCCGAGCGGGAAAGGGTTAGTATAATATCAAATAATAGTTTGGGGTATAAAAGGAGTAAACGAATTGTTATTTTCTTTAACGTTTGCTATATCGGGAAATAAATACTGAATTCTAAAGATGTTTTCTTGAAAAATTCTTGAAAATTAGTCACAAAATGTCTTACAAGTTGTTATTTAGTATAAAAGAGTTAGTATATATTCCTTAACATACCTTCTACTACATATATTATGTTCGGCGGTTTTTGCTGCAGAAGTAACACTGCTGTAAGAGCCAGCAAGCCACCCATGTACCTATTATACAGAATATTTCAAGATTTCCACAAAAAAGATCCACAATTAAAAGAGGTCTGTGCTGGGTGTGCGTATTAAGTTTCTTAGTGTATTTTTTTATCGCTGAACACAAATCTAAAGTCCAAAATGGGGGTCAAAACTGCAAAAAATAAAGAATAAAAAAAAAATTAAAATAAAATAAAAAATCTAGTAATTTTTCTGCATGATAAAAATCTTACAATATTTGTCGTTTCATGAGTCTTTTCTCTTTAAATGACCTGTGCAAGAGATTTCTGCGATGCTTTTTTCATTTCTATTGAGTTATCAACTTGCAGGAACTTTCAAAAGGAAATTGCACACATATTTCAGAAAACTGCAAATTTGTTTACAAATTACCTAGAGACAATAGGAAATGCACCATCATGAATAGGTTTGTCAGATTACTGCTGCAAAAAGATGTTCAACAGAGATGAAAATAAGCATTACAGAAATCCTTGCACTGTTCAAAGAGATAAATACAGAAATTATAAGATTTTAATTATCATGCACAAAAACTAATAATAATAGTATTTTTTTTTTTTTATTTGTTATCAAGGGTTCCTGAAGAAGGAGACATCCCATTATCACCAAAATGTTATTTAAAGAAAAAAATGGCTGAAATTATAAGATTTTAGTTATCATGCAGAAAAATTAATTATAATATCTTTTTTATTTGTTATCAATAGTTCCCGAAGAAAAAGACATCCCATATCACCAAAATGTTATTTAAAGAGAAAAATGATAGAAATTATAAGATTTTAATTATCATGCACAAGAATTAATTATAATAATATGTTTTTTCATTTCTTATCAATAGTTCCTGAAGGAGACATTCCATGTCCGAGAAAGATGGAATAAAATAAAAAAAATTAAATGAATGATTACTTAAATGTATCCGCGCTCTACCGCTGCAACATTTTCAAAACAATTTCTAGATATTGGCGACGAAATGGTTATCACCGATAAAACTAGATGCATTGAATTATTGATCAATTCTCATATAATCACTGATTTACAGAATTATCCTATACCGATGAACACAAGAAGTATGTACATAGTTATGAATATCTTGCAGAAGCAGCAATTCAAAAAAAAAATGAATGAGGGAATTTAGTGTCAAAATCAAAATCTAAAGATAAAACTGTTTTTGAGAATAAACTGAAAATGTTCCGGAGTTTTTGAAAAAACACTCAATTCACTAAACACATACTTCTGCATCAGTTAATTTTTCTACTAAAAATTTTCTAGAAATATTTCTTATGGCTAAACGTTTGCTGAGCCAGCTAGTATATATATATATATATATATATATATATATATATATATATAAGAAAATATATTTGGAAATGTAAGGTTCTTTTAAATATATAATATTCTGAATATTCATCTAGTAAACCATATAGCAAAGTCATTGCTGTATATAGCTTACGAGTATCTCTGGTTCATACATTTGAAAATATTACCAAACATTTTGTTTCCGTACTCTCAGAAATTTCAGAAAAGGCGTTTACATTGCAGATAAGATAATAATTAACCAGAAATAAATAATCCGAAAATTTATTATTTGTGTGCTCAAATAAAATGCTCAAAAACTTTAAAATACTAAAATACTTTAAAAAAAAAAATGCTGCGCGCAAGCAAGTATTATTAAGCAGTTATAATTTATAATTTTATGATTTTATAACTTTATGAAATGAGTGGCCTGATTGCCCGGTGTATTTTAAAAACATTTTCTCTTATATTTTATCTCTTATTAAATAATTGTTTGTTAAATTAGGTAACTGACAATCAAAACAACATGTAAAATAGATGGACATCTTTATTACAACAAATTTTTATATTTCATAACTATAACAATTAAAAATAAATTCTACAGACAATACGAAGAAAATAACGACATACATCAAAAAGAACATTTTAAAACAATAACAAACGAAGATAAATGCTTGTAGAAGTGTCTACTTTAAATTTTTGGCAGTTTTTATAGAATTGATCTCGAGTTGTGCACACAAATTATTCCTATTGATTTAAATAAAAACATTGAATAAATAATATAATAACTGAGGTAACAAAAAAAAATCATAACCCTATAATGTGAATGCTTAAGTTTGTGTCTTGTCAGTACCATTTTTGCCATTAAACTATTCACGATACTACGAACTGAACGGTGGAATTATATAGAAGACTCGGTTCTTAAAAAGTCTTATTTATCTTTTGGCCACGTTTGTTTAGTGCCTGTAACCAGGTTTCCTAAATTCAGGAGAAGGCGCTGGCGGCAGTGCGCCTACATCGTAACTCGGGGGCCGATAGAAACGCCACAGTAAAGATGAGCCACGTTTGAGCTCCCCACGTTGTTTCAAGTGAGCCCAGCATTCTTGCCAATTGTTGAAAGTAGGCATATGAGGTGGTTTACTTGCAGCCAATCTAAAAGATAAGTTTAGATGGATAAAGGACTTTCATTTCTGGTTTTAATTTAATTTTTACTAGGGAAGAACAGGAGTTAAAGGTCTGCTGGAAAAAAGGTCCACCACCACAAGTAAAATATAGTTTTTTAAAAATACTATTTTAAAGTGAAAGAATATCTTACATGTGGCTCGATTAAAACAGACTACCTAAACCTTTACACTAGCAAAGTGTAAAAATTTAGGTGGTCATTTATTCTTATTTATTAAGAAAATAGTGAATAAAAATGTAAAATAAGTTAAAAAAGCAATTAGAACAAAATGGATTAAATTGATAGTTCTTACAACTTCAATGATAAAATCTTTTGACAAAGTTCCATACAAAAGTTATATAAAGTGTGATCTTTGTAAAAAATGTGCCCATAAAATATGTTTTTCAAACAAGAGTTGTATTATTTCATTTGTAATAACTGTATTTCAAGAAATATTGAGTCCGATTATGATAAATTAAAAAGAAATCTCTACTAAAGCAATACTCATGATAGTATTAAAAATTTATAAATATGTTTGCAAATTGCATTTAAAAATACATATTCAGATTATGCTTTTTAATTTTGTTGTTCAACCTAATAATTAAACTGCATCACATTCATTAATTAATAAAGCTTTAAATCAATAAAACCTCAGTAAAGCAAAATAAAATAGATTAGTGGATCTTTTTACCCCCTGGTTGACCTTCTTACAATGCTGGTGAGGTAAAATGGACCATACAATACATTTTAGAAAAACAGCAAAAACAACATATGTCTACAATGATGAATTTGCTGGGAGTTTTACTGAACATAGTCAGATTGTTACTTGTTTGATATGTGTTATTTGTTTTGATGTAGTTGGTTTGGTTTGCACAGTATAATTGCTATAAGTCCAACTGGACTGCCCTAGCCTAACAAAGATATAAATAAGTATGTTGAAAGACAACTGTACTTACCTTGATCCATGAAGAGTCATACAATTTGACACAACTTGGAATGGGTACATAATTGTGCTTGTTACAAACTGAAATATATAAATATAAGCATTAAATAAATAAACTTTACAAACTACTTTAAAATTATTAGCTAATTTAGAGCATTAAAATATATCTTACTGTAGCAATAGCTCCAACATAGCTGCGAGTTTCCTTATCCTGTACTAAATGTTTGTTAATGATAAATGTAACAGCACTCGCAAACAGAAGACAAGCAATATCACCTAACAATCTTGGGAACAAACCATTGAAAAATCCTCCAATACCTTCTTCTTGGTAAATAGTTGCAATTGATCCCAAAATTGAACTGAAGTAGTAATAAAATAGAAATAAATAAATATTTATTCAAATGTGGATATGAATTTAAAATTTGAAATTATAGGTGACCCCCTTATAACATGGACGTGACGTATTTCTATAGCATGGATCCACTCTAACAAGGTTAGGAAATGAGCAAAATTCTAATAAAATATAAAGCAAACTTTATCTAATGTAAAGTTGGTGAAGTCACAAAACAACTGCTCATAAACTTAATGCAAAAGATATCTCATTTGCCATTTTTCATTTGAGCCTGGACATTCTATTGGAAAAAAGCCTAGGTTTACCCAAACAGTTATTGATATTTCTCAAATATAGGTTCTTTAGATGAAGTAATTTAAAATTTAAAAGAGAACTCACATCTAGAATCATGTAGAAATGTGTAAAGATCTTTTCTTTAAAAAAGCCAAGGCTTTCCCAAACATTAGTCATATTCCTCAAAAAAAGATTCTTTAAATGAAATGAGCCCAAAATTTAAAAGAAAACATTAGTGCTTAGTATCATATAAAGAACTTATAAAAATCTTTTCATCAAAAGCGAGCATTAAAAAATAACAATTCATATTGCAAAAATAAGGGAATCGAAATTATGCTAGTATAGAAAAATTCTCAGACGATGAGGAAATCTTGCCAGATCAGGTTAATTCACTTAGTACATATCAACTACAAAAATTAATGAATATACTTTTATCTTTATTATAAATATATACTAGCAATTTTTAAATCTATGCCCTCTTTCTACACTACTCCTTTGTCTAACAAGGATTACTCCAGTGTTATACGGGGGTTACCTGTATATCATTTACTTACCAATATTTGGTTTCATGACCAATAAATTGAGCCATCATTCTAACAGTGATTACTTGGAAGGGGTGACTAATTATTGTACCGCTTATGTGAAGAATCATGTCTCTTGACAATGCCTTTTCAAATCTCTTCCTCCTAAAAAATACAATAATTAGTAAATATAATTAGCAATAATGTAAATACTAGATGATTTTGCCAATTTTAAAAATGGACTTGAAGTACTAAATGTAACATTAGACTTCTGATTTCTGAAATCAAGTTTCGATAAACAAACAAATAGAAAAACAAATAAATAGAATGTTTAAATTTGCATTAAATTGACCCAAATAGTAAATACTTAGTGCTTTGCTTAATTGTATTTGAAACTAAAATTGATTTTGATAAGCGTATAGGCGCAAACTTTATTTATTCTTTGGACTTTGATAATAATTTACATTATATAATATATATTTATGTTTACTTGTTTTTAATAAGCTAAAAGAAATAATATGATTGTTATAAGATTATGATAATATAATGTTTATATTTATTTGATCCTTTTACTGAATAACTTATTTCACTAACAAAATTGTACTTACAATTTTTTGTGAAAATTATGCATGATCAACAAATAATTGTTTTTAAAGTTATTCAATCCTGGTGAACTGTTATTTCTTTGTTCTACTGAATTATACAAAAAAAATTTACTATCAATAAATATGAACAATAAATTTCATTCAAAAACTGCTCTTTTAATCACAATAAATTTTCTGTTAATTTTTTTTTTATTCAAATTACAGAGTATTCAATTAAGAACATTTTTTATGAAAATTTGAAACTGGTATTCTGGAATAATTACTATTCAACAACCGTTTTCCTAAAAGGCCAGTTTTTGTATAATCCTTTATAAATTTACCTTTCAATATCTGTGAGTTCATCATCATTTACATCTTCTTTTTCAGGAGGTACACCCAAACCTAACTGTTCAGCTATTTTTTCACTACCTAAGACACTCGCTATGTTACCCAGGAGTTTAGGTGTAAGGCCTCGATAGCAACCTGTAATGCCATCCATTCTTCTAATGTAACCCACTGAAATATATAAAAAAGTAATTATAAAAGATATTTTTGTATTAGTACATTAAGAATTATATAAGTGTTATATTATTATTATATTAAATTTTAAAATAATTGTTACACAATAATAATAATAATTGTTAATAATTGTTTGTATCCTGTAGTTAAGTAACAAAAAAAATTATAACACAAGCAATAAATTAATTAGGGATTCTAGTGTAGACGAATAAATTTTAGGTCATTTTTAAATCATTGTGGTCAAGATTTGACCAGGGCTTTTACTATTTAACCCAGGACCCTTTGAGGTAGGGGATACAATTGTATGAGTATATTTAAGTAATTAATTAATAATAGTTCGGCCATTTAAGCCTAAATTAGGTAAGAATCTCGGAATTCGAGATACCCAGCTGTAAGTCTGTAAATACTGATACCCTAAAAAGTTGTCTCAAAACCTACATATGGTAGGATGTACACAACATATGAAACTTTAGGGTGTCAATAAACAAGTATTTACAGTCTTACAGCTGGCTGTCTCGAATTCCGAGGTGAACTTACTATAATGACTAGACTATAAGTAAATTTTCTAAATAATTAATTCTTCTAGTAAAAAAACACGAATTTTAATTCATATTTAAATCATCGTAAAAAAGGGCAAATTATAGGGATTCATTTTCAATATTATTATTTTTTAAATCTATTTATCAATGTTACAAGAGTACAGAAATAACTAGAAAAAATGTTAACAATTTTAAGAGTTAGCAGTTGTTGAAGTAGGGCCTCTCAAAAAATTGACACGTGTCCATGGCCACGATTGCAACCCCCCTTTTTCCTAATCCTAAACCCTAATCTCCTTTTTTTTTCATTTCAGATTACTAGGGGGGATTGCAAAAATAGTGAGATAAAAGATAGTGAAATAAAAAATGACCTAAAATTCATGTCCTTAATTAATAAAAATACCCCCTTAATCTACAATTGTCATATAGTTAACTAAATAATAATTTGCTTACCACATTGAAAAACATTTGGAAGCGCAAAGGCGGGTTTGACAAATAAAGTAGTTGTGGGCTAAATATTGTAAATTAGTGATCTTTTTTTTTTCAATTCAGATTACTAGGGGGTTGCAAACGTGTACATGGTCATATAGTAATTTTTATTGAAAAGCCCCATTACAACAACTGCCAACTCTTAAAATTGGTAACATTTTTTTTTAGTTATTTTTGTACTCTTGCAACGTTAATAAATAAATTATATATTATAAAAACAATAATAGTGAAAAAATAGATAGTCTTTTTATTTATGATGATTTAAAAATGACCTAAAATTCATGTCTCTACAATAGAATATCCGCTTAATCTACAATTGTGATACAGTAGAACCTCATTTATCCCCGACTAATTTATATGTATGTATATATCTACAATTCAAATTTTTGTATGATTAATGCCGCAGTTTAGTATATGTATGTAATATAATTTAAAAGAATATATATGTACATACATAAGGAAATGTTAATTTCTTATTAAAGATTGATTTTCGTTAATATCTATGTATGTATTTGTTATTTTATACTATAAATAAATAATTTAATACGATAAATACACAACATTATTCTTCATACATTTGATTATCCAGATTATCAATTATCTGAAAGCCTATCGACAATAATTAGTCCGGTTAATCAAGGTTCTACTGTATGTACATACCTACAATTTGAGTTTTTGCACGATTAATGCTGCAGTTTAGTAAATGTATCTAATGTAATTTAAAAAAATATATATGTACATACATAAAGAAGTTTCAATTTCTTAATAGACATTATTTTCGTTGATATCTATGTACGTAATTGTTATTTTTAATAAATACACAACATTATTCTTCATACATTCGATTATCTGGATGTTTATGGACAACAATTAGTCCGGCTAATCGATGTTCTAATATAGTATAGTCATCTAAATAATAATTTGCTTACCATATTGAAAAACATTTGGAAGCGCTAAGGCGGGTCTGCCAAATAAAGTAGTTGTAGGCCTTGGAGGGATGGGCTCATAACCAATCTAAAAATTGAGATATAATTTTATCAATAAAACCGATAAGCAAATAGGCTAACCTCAAAAGTCAAATGATTTCTATTACACAACACGAATACAAACCTGTATCAGAACTTTAGCGTATTCAAAAGGATGACAAGTCGTACTTAAAGCTAATCGCATACCAAACCGCGTCCATGCATTATTTTTCGCTTCGTCCTTAGAATTTGACATTTTGGATTTTGTCGTACCCCGAAACTAGACTGGATATTGTTTGATTTCGAGTGCGCCAGTTACGTGAAGTTGGAAATGATCTTCACATAAAAAACTAAAAAAATGATTTATTAGTTTAAAGCAACGCGTAGTTTAATCAGAATCGAACGAATTATAATTTTAGGAAATTATAAACATTACAAACCAACATATTGCGCAAAACAATTTTGAAATATATATTGATTCAAATGTTCCCGACCACTAAACTACCAACGCGACAAAATGAAAACAAAAACATAAAGGAATGTGTATTGTCATTTATTTTATCATCTGTCAAAACAAAATAGATTTCGTTATTAACAATGAAATCATTGAATTTCATCAAACCAACAAGATTTTATTATACGTTGCCGATAAATATTATGTTTACCATAGACTTTATATTACATGGACTGCTAATCGAGCGCATACAAAACGTAACTAAAATTGCTGGAAATTTCCGTACCGCAAATAAAAATCTTGGTACGGAACCCAAAAAATTTACACAAAATGTGTACACATTATTAAAATCTCTATAAAATATTTGATAATTTGATGTACATATGTCCAATAAACATTTTTGACCGCAAAATGACATTTTTTTTTAACTTATTTTTATTGAGAGTCCATAACCGCTGGACCTGCCTTCCCAAAAATTTAGTCAGTTTTTCAGCTTGCCAATACAAGTAAAATGTTTTTTGAATTATTAAAATCGGATGCTCCGTTCTCTTAAAAACTGAGTTACCGTTTTTGGCACTTTTTGCCCCGTATCTTCGAAACCACTAAACCTGTCTTTGCCAAAAACTAATCAGCACGTCTCCTTACCAATAGAAATCGAATGTTTTTGAATAATTGAAATCGGTTGATCCGTGTTCCCGAAATCTAATTCAATTTAATTATTTTCTTTTGATGAGAAAATAATAGATTTTTTGGATTAATTTTATATAAAAATAATGTAGTAAACTTTGTAATAAAATCAAAACATTTACCATAAAATATTTTTACCAAATAATAATACTTCTGCTTTCTAAATTTTTCTTCTGCTATTTCCATTCGAAAATTAATATTATATCGGGTAGTTCGATTAGCATATTATTACTTTTACACAATTATATAATTGTGTGAAAGTAATAATATAATACTAAATATTTTTGCTGCTTAAGTGCTATTGATATCACTGATAAATTTTGCACTCTAAAGTATTGTTATTTCAGGCTATGGAAAAACCTGATTAAATTTCGTTTCGTGTATTTTTCCAAATATTGTCGTAGTTAGAAATATGACCTCTTACTATTCAATAAATTATACATTTGAGCTATTCACACTTGAACTCAATTTTATTGTTTTGTATCTTTGAAGTAATATTTTTGTATTTTCTGGAAAATACACAATGGCATTATTTTGACTCGTATACCTAAAAGGTAATAAAACTGCCCGTGAGACGAGAAACGACCGCTTTCTTTCCAAAGCAGTAATTGTCTACACGAGTTAACAGATTTATTACCAGTTTAGGAAAGTCGAATATGACAAAATATCCGACACAATTCCGCTCGGATTCACTCCGAAGGAGGAGTTGTATCTGAGTAATAACTCCGAAGTGAGACCCATCACTAATACAGATATGCTTCAGAATGGACACCCATGCAGTTTATTTATTGCTAGTGTTAATGAAATTACTCAATATTGTTTATATTGCAGCTGTTCACTGTGTGAACGAATATTATAGAATTTATTAATCAGAAATTGCTTTATTTCTTTAATGAAGGTTCAAGTCCTTTCAATTATAATTTATAATTATATAAATATATAAAATGGTTGACACTAAAATGTGTGCATCACGAGTGTTACCATATTACTAATAAACATTATTCAAAATTGTTATATGATGTATTTATTTTTAACTTAAATGCCATCTCGTACGATAGCAAAAAAGTTTTACTTCAATCGCGTGTGAACCTTACGCGCACTCTTTTTTCACTCGAGAAATGTATGGGGACTAGCAGTCCATGTAATATAAGGTCTATGATATTTACTCATTTTCTCATAAAGTTATTTTGACAACCAACGTGGCAGCCATGTTTAAATCAACTGAAAACTGTCACTGTCATTATTCACTTACGTTCTGACATTTCACGATTTTAAGTGCTTTTCTACACGCAATAAATACATTTTATTAATAACTAAATGGTTAATTAATATTTTAATATTCTTACAATATGGTTACTGCCGCAGAAGAAAACTTTCTCAAACAGTCCTTGGTGAAGGTGATAGGTTTTATCCAAAATATGTGTATTTCTTTCACCCACAAATAACTTTGTCTTTCTTTTTTTAGTACTATAATCCTGATAAAACTCGTGTGGACGTAGCAACTGTATTAAATATTTATAAAAGTTTGACAGCCAGATACGAGGCTTTTGGTATGTATTTGTTTTAATAAAATGATTGCTTGATTCAAAAGATTTTAGCTAATAAACGTTATTTTAAGTGTTCAATGATGGATCTCAGAAAGATTTACTTAATATGCAAGGCACAATACCCGTTACATATAAAGGTAAGAAATACCACATCTTTATTATATTTATATTAGATTAAACAAAAGCCAAGAGGCAGTTAATTTCTCTTAAATTAGTCCTCGGGAACACCATCACAATCGTATTACATATACTTAGTACTTGATTGTGTAAAAACGTTTAAATACTGATTTACCTCAATAAAGTTATCATTTACTACAGGTACCATATATCACATACCAGTATGCATTTGGATAATGGACACACATCCACAAAATGCACCATTATGTTATGTGAGGCCCACACCTGATATGTGCATTAAAGTTTCAATGTATGTTGATTATAATGGAAAAATTTACTTGCCATATTTGCACGATTGGCAACCGGTAGGAATTTAATAATATAAACAATAAGCTGTTGATGATTTTTTTATCATTCCAATGTTATTGTAGAATACTTCGGACTTGCTTAGTTTGATACAAGTTATGATAGTCACATTTGGAGAAAAACCACCAGTGTATTCAAGACGTAACCAACAAGATTCTGCAACGCCTTATCCTCCTTGTAAGTGTGTTTTATCACACTTGTATTTAAAGTTTTATCTTATTGTATTTTCTTTTTTAGCAAATATGCCTAGGGTAGGTAGTGCAGGTCCATCACCATATTTACCTTATCCTGCAGGTGGTTATACACCTCCCACAAATAATGCAGGTTACCCTCCATATCCCCCTGCAACATCTGCATCCAATTCAGTTCCTTATCCAACTTCATTCAGTTTTGGAAATATGCCATTTCCATTTTCACCATCTCAAACGCCTTATCCCGGACAAAGTGGGCCAAATTTGCCATATCCTCCAACATCAGGTACTGGTTCTATACCTATGCCTAATGCAAGAACTGATTTTGGCGGAGGTAATAGTTATAATCAAACAGGCACTATTTCTGAGGAGCATATTAAAGCTAGTTTAATGAGTGCTGTGGAAGATAAAATCAGAAGGTGAGAATTTAAATCCAGTTTGGTATTTTTCACTTAGGCAGCAATATGAATTTGAATAACTTTTAGACGTTTACGAGAACAATATTCACAAAGCCAGGCTGAAATGGAAACATTGCGAAGAACTGAACAGGAATTAAATGAAGGAAAAGAAAGACTTGATAGAATTTTCGCAAAATTACAGCGAGAACAGGTATACTAAGTAGTACGATTAAAATGAGTATGAAAAATTATTAAAATTATGTTTGTAGACTGAATTAGAAAAAAGCATCTCAGTTCTTAAGGACAAAGAGGCAGATCTGCAACGAGCGATAAATAGATTGCAAGATCAAGAAGAAATAGATGTAGATGAGGCAGTAACCACAACAGCTCCATTGTACAAACAGTAAGTGAAATTGACTTAAGAGTTTTAAACATAAATGAAACTATCCCAATTATAGATTGCTGAATGCGTTTGCTGAGGAGGCAGCAACTGAAGACACAATTTACTACCTCGATGAAGCTCTTCTCAAAGGAGTTATAGACCTAGATACATTTTTAAAGCATGTTCGAGCTCTATCACGACGCCAGTTCATGCTTAGAGCATTGATGCAGAAATGCAGGCAGAAAGCTGGTCTCGCTTGTTAGTTTTGTCATCACTTGCATATATTGCCTTGTGTACCATATAAGAAATGCTATAATGTAGAAATCATATATTTAATTTTTTGTATCAATCTTATTTTTATTATTATATTGAGCACTTCATTTATACACACATATTATTGTAGAATTTAAGAATATATTACAATGATGTTTACATGTGATTTTATTGCAACTTTTGAGAGAAGTACTTAGTAAGGGAATGATTCATGTAGAGAGCTCAGTGCTATACGTAAATGCCCACACATAGTAATAGGAATAATGTTCCAAAACCAGAAAAGATTGCAGCCACTAAAGATACAAGTAACTCTTTGAAAATGTATCTGGTATTTTTTGTGCTGGTCACTTCGTATACGAAAAACCAGGCAGTAAAAAAGACTCCTATTCCTAATAGGACTATTGCTAAGTGTGGGAAGACGGCTGGGTTGACAGGCGATACGTATCTTGTCATAGATTCCATGTTTAACTAAAATTCAAGAAAAGTAAGGTTACCTCATCGGCAATTTGCACAAGACACAAGCAATAATTCCATCTCCCACATCTTACCATATTATTTAAATTCTTTAATAATATCACTATAATTGAATATTATCACTTTTATTCCACTAGAAAAACATATATTACAATACACCTTTTTATAATAATCAGTCAATAAGAAGACACGTATTTGACAACACAAACGAGTCAGCGTCGTGAAGTATGAACAAATCAGTGACACCACCTATGCGCTGTTATGGCAAAGAAACTGACTGATGGTTTGAGTCCATAATTTGTGTTATTGAATTTAGATAAGAGAGTGAAGTATGTGATTTGTGTAGATACAAATTTCCGTCAACGATTTCGGGAGCACGGATTAACTGCTTCCAATGTAAACATTTAATAATATTTGAATTAAAAAATATTTTGCTGTTTCAGAGATACCAATCTGATATTCCAAACTAGTTGGTATTAGTATTAATAAATGTTCAGTAATATTCCCAAGTAATATCTTTCGAACAGTTTTTGATTTTATAAAATCGATTCGGTAGTATGAGCTCAAATATGGACGAAAAGTTTAACACTTATTTCCAAATTTCGGTTCAGGCGTTTTTGAGCAAACGTCGGTGAAAGGTCTAATTTTGACAAATGCCAAAAAAACGATACTAATTTTTGCAATCTTTGACGAATTTTTAAAATTAAACGAGTGGCGTAGGTCCGTAATATTTTAGTATGATCTATAAGACTATGGTATCTACCCACAAAAAAATTAATTGAAATTGCCGATTTTTTTTAACACTTTATTACAATCCCTCTGGAAAGATTTCTGCAATTATGCTTAAGGATGGACGCCCCCATTAATCACGTGAGTCTTGAAGGAGGAAGGGGTTGACAGAAAATAACAAAATATCATGAGAAGGAAGGGAGGGTTTGGTTGGTAAGATAGCACGTGTATTAATTATATATTTCAATTTAAAAAAAATCCGAAATTTATCAAAAAAAAGTCACAGTTCTTATGATTTTTTCAAGATACTAAATATACACGTGATTTTAGGTGAGAGATGGGGGTAATCTGAAATATCACCACGTATCACCAAGGTCATCTCTCACGTGATTAATAGACGCCCCAAACTAAGCATTTTAGTTTAATTTAAATTATTAAAACATAAAACAGGGCAGTTTGCTGTCGATCCTGCAGCACCTTCCAAAATCTAATCATTTAAAAAGTATTGCAACTACAGTAACAAAACTAATTTTACAGAAACTGAATTCTGAATTAGTCAAATCGCGTTGTGTTTGTAAATTCCGCGACGTACTGGGAACCAAATATGATCCGTTTTTTATTAAGTGTAATATTTTGACCAGAGAAATTACCAGAACTTGCATTGATGTCCAACGTACTAATATATTTTTTTAATTATAGAAATAATGCACACCCACATATAGAATTATTGGTGGACAGGTAAACAGGTAGATATCTAGACGAAGTAGGAAAGAATACAGGTAGAGAGGTAAACAGGTAATCAGGTAAACGGATAAAAAGATGAATAGGTGGACAAGTAGACATAAATAAAAACATAAACAAGTACTTCTATACAAGTAGACAGGTATACAGGTATACATGTAAGCAGGCGGCCAGATAGACATGTGGACAGGTAGACAGGTAAACAAGTGGCAGTGGCGTCGGAACCGTGTGGGCTGTGTGGGCTTGAGCCCACCCATGAATTAGTCCATATAATTTGAAAAAATTATATGGACTAATATCTCTAAAAAAAAAAGAGCCCACTGGCTGTCTGTCAAAAAAAAAAAACTAGCCCACCCATCAAAAATTTGGTTCCGGCGCCACTGACAAGTGGACATATCAACAGATAAACAGATACACATTGGACAAGTAGAAAGACAGGTTGATAGGTACACAAATTCATTAAATTGATTGACATTAAATGCCACTTTCAAATAGTTATGTAATAACATATAAATCTCAATATATTACAAATAATAAGAGTACGTTGAAGATTTAGTGTTCTCGGTACACCTATTTTATTTTAATATGTTGGTGTTGAACCCATAGACATAGACCTATGAAATGAATAATACCTTTTTTACTTTTTATATTTATATAATTTTAATTGTATAAATAATTATTATATCTTACAGACATTGTTATTATTTAAATATATGTTACAAAATGAATCTAATTTATTTATCAATCCGAGTATTAACAAATAATATTATTTGTTGATAAACTTATGATAAAAAATATTTATAATTTATATTCAAGACTAGAACATGTTTTTTTATTTTAAAAAGAAAAGGAGACAATTATTATTAATTACACAAGATGATTAATTAAATTATAGCCATGACTTCAAAAATAGTCTATTTATTAGCTACATTAAAATTTTAATGATATATTTTACAATTATTTATATATTTTTGGAATGCTTCGTTTTGTGCGAAATCTTTTTGCGCATTTCTCGATATTTATGCTTTGATTATCACAGAGAAATAAAACTCGGTAAGAAATCGGTTAAAGGTTATTAGACAGTTATTGAAGAACTTACAAATCTTTACTATTAGGAAATTCAAAAATGTCGTCAAATCATTTTCCACAGGTATTTAATTATTACAACATATTTCATAAAAAAAGTAATCAATTTTTTAAACATTTCATCAAATAGTGGATAATAATATAGTCAAAGATATGTATTGAAGAACACATTAAAGCAGAATCTAATCGCTTTTTAATAAAATTGTGCTTAGGATTCTTCTCTGAGTTTAATAAATATCAATCTGTCCTTTAATGAATATAATTTAATATACCAATCTGTCCAAAAGCCTGTTAATATTACTATGTCATGTATTACAGTTATCCCATCATATTTATATTAATATTATCACAAATAATTATAAAGAAATACCAGTTAACAGTACGGCTGGTCGTCAGTTTCTATTAAATCATAAACTTTTGTTTTTTGTAGCATTGTGCGATTTAAATACAATAAAAGCTTTGGAAGATAAATTTCAAAACCATTTCAGATTTTGATAATCCTACTAAAAACCTTATGAGCTAGAGAATATCCTTAATGTAATATGTATTTAATTATATTTATAATATTTTTTATATATGGAACTGCAAACACTTCGGAATTAATAGTAAATATCTAAAATTACTACAAAATGAGAATTGATTTAATATATTTGTCTTAGGAATGTCAGCGTTCGCTTATCAATTAAATTCATATATTCATAATTATTTTAAAAAGTAATAAAATATCATAAGTCTATATAATATACTTAAATTATCTACTTACAATGTTTGATTCAATTGGAATGGAATTTTTTTGTTTTCACATTATGCGTACGACTCACGATTATGTTGTCTAACATGATATAAAAAGCAAAGCATTTTTTGGTCATTAATAATAAACTTGATATTATTTCCTCACTTTCACCTTTTACTTTCAGTTAACTAATTTTCCTACAAATCCTTTTATTGATTTAGCAAGGTGTTCGTCACCTCCGAGATGCAGAGCAGAGGACTCCTGCTGTCTTGCTGATTCGTTGCTCTGGTGGATGTTGCTGATCTTGTTGATTGCTGTTGTGTTGCTGAGACCGGGGGTAAGAGTGCACAGAGTTGCTGCTGTTGCTGTTGCTGTTGGCTGATTGAGGCGCTGGTGACGATCGACACCGCGTGGCCTCCGATGAGGATCTGGAAAGGAAGGATTCCATTTAGCAAATTATGGTATTCTTCTCATACCCCAAAAAATGATAAATAAAAATAAAACTCATTTGCTATTGTACGAGATGGCATTTAAGTAAAAATAATTACATCATATACCAATTTTGAATAATGTTTCTTAGTAATATGGTAACACACGTGATGCACACATTTATTAGTGTCAATCATTATACACATTTATATAATGATAAATTATAAATTATATATTTATAATAGCATTAAAAATATGTAGATTATTTGAAAACAATCATGTAATTAAAGTCATACTTCAAATATGACATGATCGGTTTGTCATTGTAATTAGCATTTAGAAATAAACGTTCATTAGAGAAATGAAGTAATTGCTGATTAATAACTTCTAGAATATTCGTTCACACAGTGGATTATGTTAAACAACGCCTAAACAAATATTATTTTCACAATCTCACCCATCATGTAATTGTGTTTGAACAACTTCGTGTAATTAAAATTAACATACATTCATTGATTTTTTACTTTTTCGCTGGCGATATAATATCATTCTTTGACAAGCTATAAAATCTGTCTTGCCTAAAATATTTTCCATTTTAATATCTTCAAAGATTTAAAGAAACTACGAATAATATAGAAATTATTTCTAATAAATAAACTTACGCTACACGGCACAAATGTTTAATTTGTTTTATTATTTTCAAGGAACAGAGTAAAATATTCTTCTGATTTAGGTATTTTTCATTAAATCAAGATTTGTACTACGATGCAACTTTAAAATTTTTATTTATCTATGCCGATTTCCTTGTTGATATCGGTACACAATACAACGTTGATGCCAGTACGTATAAAACGACATATCTCTATTCACATATACGACGACTAATCACAATCGACCCGTACAGCGAAGCGAATGACGTACAGTTCGGGCGTAACGCAATTTCCGTTGCATTCTCACAGTTTTACACCCTAGTCACGCCTAAATAAGTTTTACTTCAATAAACCTTGGTAAGGGAGAATTAAATACGACTGTAAGACATATAGTGAAGTCAATAAAGGTTAAGGTAGATGCATTTAATAATAATTTTCTCTGGCACATTATTTTTTTAAACTATATGAGTATCTTTTTCCTTTATTCCATTCACTTTACTTGAAATAATCTTTAGTATCATACGAAAAAAGCTAAATCCATCACCAAATTAAGTTAAATTTGTTCATAACGATGCAAAGATTAAAAAGTTTCCATAAGGCTCAGTTAAAATGCTGATTTTTAAATGTTCATTTAACATTTAAATAACAATAGTTATTTGAATTTTTTATTTTTATTTCAAAATCAAACATTATGTAAGATTTTCTAACTCAATATTAATTGTAATTTAAGATCAATGCAGAAATTGGTTAAATATTTAAAATATGCTGCAGTCATGGAAAGAATTACTATATTCACAATAGTTTTTAAATTGGAAAATGATTTTCAAATAATTCTCTTAATAGAGAGAAATTATATTATATTGCAAAATATTGCAATGTAGTGTTTGAGTATAGAAATAAAATCCGAGCACAAGATGCATTTATTACCACCATTAAAGTTTTAGCAATCCAGGTGAAGTTGTATTAGACATAACAATACATAACCTGATGACTTTAAATAATCTTTGCATCTCTATCTGAACTGTAATACTAATTATTTCTGATCCCCATGCATCAGTATTCATCTAATAATTAACAATCCCCCAAAATGTGCCATTCCATGCAAATACTAAAAGCACTCACAGTGCCGTAGTATAAAGTGCCGTCGCGGCTGTGCTGTTTGCCAATATTGCCTGATGATGATTTTGTTCACCATAGTGCTGATGCAAATACTGATGATTACGGTGATGGTGGTGGTGGTGGTGATATCTATGATGCAAATAATCTCTCCCATGCCGACCACCATCATTATTGCCCTCATGATGTTGGTACGGCTGCCATACCTCGCTCGTATCAGGATAATTCTGTTGCTGTTGAAGACCGTTGCTCCATTTGCACGATTGTTGGGGGTCCCTTTGGTGATGTTTTAGGCTCATTTCTGGGTCTTCGTGCGGGGACAGACTGTTGTGAGACTGCTGGTGGTGTAGTTGAGCGTGGATGTGCGTCTGGTGGCTTTGGAGACCGATGTGGTGGTTTTGAGACTGGTGTTGGTGATGCATTGATAAACCGTTACCTAGGGAATGGAAATAGCATTAATATTAAAAAATTTGCCAACAGTTTAAATATAACTTACTTACTCTAAAAGCCAGCCCACATTGAACTAATTGTAGTGTTTATATTGTTGTTTTCATTATATATATAACTAGCTAACCCGGCAAACGTTGGTTTGCTAAGTAAACTATATTCTAAACAATTTCTAGAGAATCAGAAATATTAATACTGTAAGTGTAAAAGGGTGTTGTTGTTTGAATGCTATATACAATGACGTATTATAAAAACAATAATCCCCATTAGTTTGTCTATATTTTGTCAATACAATCAAACTGGAAGTTCTATACACTATAGAAAACATGGTATAATCCAATCCAAGTCTTTTTTGGTCTTTCGACTTATTGATTACGTTTCAAGTTTTTCAGATTTTTTTTGGATTTTGGATTTTGTGTATAATTGTAAATAACAGACTGAGCTTATACAAAATGTTTAAATTTCTGCGAGGATAGATAGAAAATGAATTAAGTATTTCTTCTTTGACCTGCTTTTTGAAAAGTTTCAAGTAACATTCGATGAATTAAAGTAAATGTAATAAAAAGTATTATGGATTTTCAGAGATTACTCTTTATCTCTCGATAGCAAAGTCATAAGAATCAAGGTTATAGCTGGTTATACATCTTTTTCCCACTACTTTCAAATATTGTTATTAAACAATGCTTAACTTTACTGGCTTTTGACACATCGGTGGTGGATCTTTTTGATTCCGGACCTTCATAAATTACTATCTATTCTCCGATAAATTCTGGGAAATTATAACTGGGAAAATGTTATTCTACCTTTTGATCGATACCAAATTTAGGTTCTGAATTAAAATAACATAAATAAAAAAAATATAACCTAGAAAATGTTTTATAAATACCAATGAGTATATAATTATACAAATGAGATCTTTCAGAGCACCGTGTTTGAGAAAAATATGCCAAAAGGTGCATTTTCATATTACCATTTCAAAAAAGTTGATATTTAGAGTTTATAGTAACACTTGAGGCCCGTTTATTAACGTTTTTGTGTACAAATAAAACTACAAACAAAACTATTACCTGCAATTTAATCATTATTAAATAATATTCACGGAAAACATCCGTGAATCGTCTGTTAAAAACGTTTGACATTTGACGTATTAGCCACCGTCCATTGTTTTATTCAAATTACGCTTCTACAAAAATTTTCAAGTTAACCCTCCGTCGGTCGGCGTGGTCTGGCCAGACTTTTTTCGACTTCAATTAGAAAAATAAAATACTTCTAGTAATCTTATCGACTTGAAATTTCTTGACTTTTTCCAAGATTTCATTAGCTGTCGATCAATGAAAAAATCAGGACGAAAAAATGCACAGAAGGATTATTATAAGGATTTAATTTTTTTTATACTTCGAACGGTCGGAAAGGTCTGTCTAGACCACCCATACATTTTGTATGAAATATACGCTTTTTCATGGTATTTTCTATTCAAACTGCGTTGTTTATATTCTTTGCTATGTGTTCTAACATGAATGTTAGTATTTTCATGACGAGAGTTTCTTGAAAACCTACCAAACTTATTGGTAATCGCAAACACTGAAAATCGGATGAGTAATGCACACATTCATTCAGGCGCCAAAAATAATAAATACTATTTTTCATTGATTTAAAACAGAAAAATTAACAAAAAAAGCAACGTTTTTTTTATATTTCTTGATTTTTTTTATATAATCGTTAATACATAAGACACCAAAAACTCATTTATCCCATATAAATGCATGTAAAATGAATAGTGGTCCAGCCAGACCTTTCCGACCGTTCGAAGGTGAAAAAATATCCGACCGACGGAGGGTTAAAAATGTAAAGATTCTACGCGATTTTGAAATAATATCTCACCTTTCCGACAACCTACTAATTAGCACGAATTTTTCAAGACTAAGACTGGCCAAATCGGTTCAGCCGTTTGCGAGTTTTAGCGAATCATTTGATCGAGAGCTCCATTTTTATATATAAGATTAAACTAGGATTATAGTAGTGAAAATACACTACTAATAAATTCCTAACCTACCAATTATTCTTATTACCTGTATCCTGTTGATGCTTTATGAGCTTAGCATCGTAACCATTCATAGAAGGCGTCGACGAATTCGAATTCGTAGGAGAGTTTTCTCGATCACCCCTGTCCGACGAAATCATAGCACTTCCCCACATTAACACAGTTTGCCTTTGTTGATCAGAAGCATACGCTTCAGCAGCACTTCTATGATCTACAGGGGTAGTTTGATAAGTACCTCCATCACTGGTCACTGATATAGCACCACCATGCCGAACCTGATGAACAAAACATAATATACAAACACATATTCCAAGACCAAGTTTCAAATACCTTGAAATATATTTTCCATACCCTTTCATTGACATAACTATCCGTAACACTCGCCCTTCCACCTGCATTATAACTAGCCTCCGACTGGTGTTCACCATACGTCGCCGCCTCATTTTTATCAGCAGAATATCTATGATGGGAGTATCCATCTCCACCGCTGTTTAGAGATATCTCCGATTTTATACTAGCCGTAGGGTCCTCCGTGATTTTTGGAGAAGGATCCGTCTCTGGACTTTGTTGGGGTGGTGGAGGACTCACCTTGGAGTCTGATAACGGAGTGGCTGATATCAATGGAGAGGCTACAGGATAAGGGGCGTAGGAACGGATTGTGGGGTCTGTGTTGTTGTGGCGTAGGCGTATTTTGGTGATTCGAGAACCTGGGTAAAAAAAATTAATTAATATATAAAAATATATATAGAAATATCATACTCTATTAAATTGATGCATTAGGAAAACATAACTTTGTGTACGTCGTCAACGAAAGCAAAATAGAAGCATTGAGCTGATAAATTACCATAGCTTATTTGACATTTTACATTTACCTGTGCACAAGCATAAAGTTTGTCGTCCTTAGGCGTCCCTAACTGATGATAAGCTACTCCTGTGCTCTCGTATCCTCTAGGAGACACTTCCAGAAAGCCGTTGGTACCAGTAGTTACATATCCTAGAAACAAAAAAAAATATATTAATGTATAATTCCCAGAACTCCGACCTCCGCAAGAAGGACCAGCTCTTACCTCCTGCAGCCTGGTAGTCCGCCGCCGTATAATAACCCGTCAGATGGTGCCTCTGAAACAAATTATCCGGATACATCGTCTGAAAAGTCTGTCCCATATAGAGAGCGTTCTCCGTCTGACCATATCCTCCCTGGGTGTACAAATTTGGGTGATGATGATAAGCAGCAATGGGCGTCATCAGGTGATTTTCGGCAGCAGCTGTCGGCAGATAATCCATCATGACAGTCGAGAGATGGGGCGAAGAGTTGTTGTTGTTTAGATTTATGTTGTTGTTGTTCGTTAGTTTGTTGGACGTGTTGAGTAAAGGACTGTTTAAGGATTGGACAGCAGGAGCGTGAGGTGTTAAGGGCGATGCGTGAGGTGATTGGTGCGACGACAGTTTGCGTTTCGTTCGACATGTTGATAAGAAGTCGCGGAGTTGGGTTTTGTAACGGCGATTTACCTACGGGAAAAAAAGATAATACAATATATAAGTTTTCAATATTTCCATATAACTCGCCCTATGAAAAGTTAATGAAAAGAATTTGAGAGTCCTTACCCTTTGGTTTGTCGGCGTCATTGGTATTGTCGGTGACGTAGCCGTTGGAAGAACAGACGTCATAATATTATCACTATCCGTAAAATAACTATTTGTTAAACCTGCATCCAAATAACTAACTTTGAAATCCATCGTACGTTTTCCCAGCAGATCCCTGCCTTCTTCTTCCCTAAAAAATAAAGTACAATGATTAAAAACATGGTCTTCAGTTACTTTAACAAGTTTCTTTATAATCAAGTATAATCTATTTCGTTCTTACATAAGCGGTCTGTGTGTGCTAATAACAAAATCAGGCTTTGAATTTTTATAAACCAGTCTCGAACTGGTTTGCAACCACTGCCATTGTCCTTCTTTGGTTTGAAACCTGTAAGCTATCATTCCGGATGCTCCAGTTTTTAACACTAAAATAAATGAAGAAATTGTATATAAAATATTAAAGAAATTTATTGTGATAATTTAGTTTAACTTACATTCTTGATGAGCGCTTGCCACATATGCCAAATCATCAAAATGTACTAAATCGTATCCACCCATATTAGCCAGTTCACCATCAGAATATCCTAAAAGCATTTTGCCCCTGAAAAAAATAAATTATACATATTTAACCTCGAGTAATAGAAAATGGAGAAAATTGTACGTTGAAAACTAGAAAGAACAGAAAAACTGATTAAGAAAAAACTGGATTGAAAAACAGAAAAGGTCTGATATATTATAAGAAACAATGCAAATTGAGATAAGCTATAAGGTATACTATTTGAAGAAGCTCAAAATGAAACAAAATATTGCACATGTGCAGAAGAAATTCAATGAAGAGTATACTAACCGTTGGTCCATAGAAACCAACCCCAAGTCCAATTTATGTTTACTTTTAAACATCACTTCTTTTTGTGGAATCTCCAGTAAACTTGGCGGTCCAAATGGCGTACAGATTGCAAACAAAGCCAAAGGCGGTTCTTCTGTTTTCCTATTTTGTCCATGAAGAACTTTGACACGTCCTCGGATATCCAATCGCTAAAAAACCTCAGTGTTAGCAACTTCAATAATCCTTTCTAAAACGTGAGTCCTTTCCCCCTACTCACCAAAAACCCTGAAGTATTATCCAGTAAACATCTAAATCTAACTGTAAAACTCCGTTCCAACAAATGAGCATTGTGGGGCATTAAGACCTCCTGGAGACTCATCTGTTGTTGCTGTTGATCAGATGCCGTCTGATGTTGTTGTTGATGTGCTCCAGGAGACGTCTGATGTTGGTGTTGAGTGTTTCCGTTACCGGATCCGGAGGTTATAAAACTGTTCCAGAGTAACTGTCTTTGGAGTTCTTCTCTGTCTTCGGAATGGACCAGCTCGTAGACGCTCTGGTGCACTATATCAGACTGTAAGGGTAATGAATAATTATTATTGATGGCAAAATGTGTATGGTAAATAAAATTCTGTATTTGCGAAATTACCTGATGGAATCCCAAATAACTCTCTATACTGTGGGTTGCAAAAAACACTTCGCCTTCACACGTTAGAATCATCAGAAATCCATTCAGCGCCTAGAAAAAGTAAATATAAAATATAATAAATTCATGGAAAGTTGATTAGGCACATGTAGGTCTGGCTACTTTAAATAGATTTAATATACGTCGTCAACTTGTTTTTTTTTTTTTTTTTTTTTTTGAAGATAGTTTTATGTTTGGACATATTGTAGAATCAAAGCACATTCTTGCATTTTATAATAAGCAAACAGCAAGATAGAAGAGAAAAATTTGAGAAAATAAACCTAATAAGTAACATCAATGTGGTATGTATTTGTATCCTTTTGCAGGACTTCCATATCTTAAAACATGTATTTTTTATCCCATGGCCCTCTTGCTGTCCACCTGTGTTATTTTTCGTCCTCGTCGTCACAATGTCCTCGTACATATGAAATTAAATTAATTAAAATGGCATAGAGTGACCATAACTATAATTAAAAACTCTTATCATACGTCGTATATCGCATATTCGTCAGTGTTCTAATCGAACTGCGGAATAGGCTTGTTTTTATTCCTTATAGTTAGTAAATAAATTAACACAGGTATATATATATATATATATATATATATATATATTATATATATATATATTTATATCTATATTTATATACAGTGCTGGATTTACAGTAGGGGCAGTCGGGGCTACTGCCCAGGGCGGCAGATTTTCGGGGGCGGCAAAATTTGGATAGTAAGAAAAAATGCTATACAATGTAATCAACTAATTTTTTTTTAAAAACGTTTTTTATTTAAAAAAATATAGTTAACTTTTGTTAATTTATATAAAACATACTACGAATACAATGCAAAATTTGGATTCAAATAGACGATTATTAAAATTTATTATTTTTCTTTGACTCCCTCTCCGAACATAAATTATCAAATTGGTTAACAAGTTATTATCAAATTTGGCAATTTGGCTAATACAAAGTTTCGTAAACGAGCTGAAAGTTTAAGAAAAATATGTTCTTCAAATCTCGAGCTCTCTTAGAACTTTCAAGCCTATAGCGCCGAAAAAAAATTAAACTAGTGACGATTAATCACTGCAAATTACTGGAACTTCTCTTTCTGAAAATTACATTTTATAAAGAGCATTAAAATTTTCAGAAATATGAAAAAATGCCCTTTAAAAAACTTTTTTTTATGTGTATATTGAAATTCTTTGAAAATTATAAACTTTTTTCAAAGCAATCGCGCTGCGAAAAATTTCAAAAATATTTCATAATATAAAAAAAAACTCAAAATTTTCAAAAATTGATTTTTTTTAAGTTTTCAAAAAATATATTTTTTTTTTAATTTTGATTTTTGGTACAAGAATAATATATAAAAACAATTTAAGTAACATTTCAGGGATGGGGCGGCATTTTTGTCAGTGCCCCAGGGCGCCAAATTTCTAAATCCGGCCCTGTTTATATATATAATATGTGTGTGCATATATACGTAAGAGCCGCATTGTATGTATACATCTTTCCTTTCCCATTTGTGCAAAGATTAGTAAAAGATGCAAAGGAATAATATATGTCTTGAATTATATTGAAAAAAACTATATTAAAAATTTCATATCCAAATATTGTGTCGGCGCCCCCTAAGGCGTGCGCTCGCATTTTATGTTTGCGTCGCATTCAAGGTAGAACCGGCCCTGATTATACTTAATTTCATATTTGAAGTGAATTAATTTGTCAAATCCTGTTCATATGTGTATCATTCAGTCTGCCATATATACACTGTATCTTTAATAATATTTTAATTTATGGCACATCTCAGCCGCTTTTAGGCAATAATAGTGAAGACATCTCATTTTTTTAAATCATAATCATGAATTTATTATACATATTCTAATATTATGTAGACTCGTAAGTAAATTGAAAATTTTGGCAGATGACAGTTTTCATTTGTTTTCAATGCCAAACAATGGCTCAAATATTTTCAATGTCAAACAATGACAAGCCGTTTTTTGCATTTTTTTCATTTTTTTCCATTTAATTCTACAATATTACTATATTTTTATAATCACATACATCCTTAAAATTTCCTTAACAAACTTCATAAAGATTTATCAAAATCCGAATAATCGTTTAGAAGGAGTATATTTACATACATCATTACAAAAGATATATATATATATATATATATATATATATATATATATATACTGCTCTGTACGGATTAGAGACATGGACTCTAAGAAAGACCGACAGAAATTACCTCGAGAGTTTCAATTAGTGATGCTAGAGATGAAAGTAGAAGACTATCAAGGATTTCATAAAAGCATACTCGTTGTCTTGTAAAATATTACTGTAACATATCATTTTCTGATAATTTATTGGGTAGTTGTGATTTTGTTGTCAAGCAATTGCGAAGATTCAGGGATCGATACTGCCACATAACAGAAAAATGTTATAGCAAGGCCATGTTATGAAGAACTTTCCATACTAAATTTGACAAAAGCCATGTAGTTGGTGTGCAGTTAGGCGTATTTCTCAGGTTGTCAGATAGAAAACCTAACCTACAAACCGCACAAATGTCAAAAAAACGACGTCAGATAACAGGGTCTTTCTGACCCAGCTTCATAACATACGAGTGACGTTGCAGTTTATGTGTAAAACGTCTGAATGCACAGCAAATACATGACAATTTGACAGTGTTCAGTATGATTCAGTAGCATAATGTATGGAAGTTGGAACGTAACATGGCCTGGCCATAACATTTGTCTGTTATGCGGCAGAATCGGTCCCTCAATTATATAACCTATCTAAAACGATATATAAAGATGTAAATCCGAGACAAATTTTACTTTTAGAAAAACCCAGGACACAAGGTGGAAATCCAGGACGTATGGTCACCTTATGATGGCATACAAGTGAAGTTGCAGGTTATGTGTAAATCGCATTGACAGTGTTTAGTAGGATTTTGTATGCAAACTGAAACCTGCCACAGCCTTTGACAGTATTCATTGTGATTCAGTAGCATAATATATGGAAGTTGGAGCGTAACATGACCTTGCCATAACATTGGATTGTTGTGCGGCAGAATCGGTCCTACAATTATAAAACCTATATAAAATGATATATAGATCTAAATCCGGGGTAAATTTTGCTTTTAGAAAACCCCGGGGTACAAGGGACCTATGGTCTCCTTATGATTAGCAGTATTTAGTAGCATTTTGTATGCAAACTGAAACCTACCATAGCCTTGCCATAACATTGGTTCTACTCTACGGCAGAATCGACCCATTAGTTAAAATTGTGAAGTGTAGACGCGGCTTTAGAATCGGGTTGCATTAATTTACTTGAAGCGCGATATCTTCTCGTTGCGGACGTTAATGCGTTTATAATATTTAGTCTCGTCTTAAGAGAGACGAAAAAATGAACAGAAAATCATCTAAGGCGCACAAGTATAATTGATGCCCCTTTTTAAAACCGACACATTAATATTAATCCGTCACTGGAGAAGGAATTATTCGAAACGTACTCGAAAAGAGATATGTCACAATTCAAATGATAATATGTATTTGGTTGTCCAGGAAGGGAAAAGTATTTTTGATTTCTGGACAGAGGAATTAAATGCAAGGTATTACATATAATTTGAAACTTGAGTCGCATATTGTGATATATTTGTTTATTTAGTAATATGCAAGGTGTGTACAATACTTTATTGTATATTTAGTAGCTGATTAAGAAGCACAATATTAGATTCCGAAATAAACTAGTGGTGTATGGTATCGCGCCTTAAGGCAAATTGCTGGATCATCTCGTACCGTAACAAAATGTTCAAGGAATATTAAATGTTTTCAAATAGATTATTATAAATACTGTAACTTTCATTATTCGTATTTTATAGACAAAATATTAGAGCTTATGAATTGGACGACGACGTATGCTTACATGAAAAATAAAACTTAATAAAGCAGAGTTAGAATAAAAAACCTTATCTCATATTTCTAGGAATTATATAAACTCAATTGCTTAGTTAAAACTATTTATTTATTTAAATATATAAGTGAGCTAGAATTTTAGCTAGAATTAGCATTAAAATCCGTATTATTTTCCATATTCAAAAAAATATTTTCGGGAAATTAAAAACAAAAGGGTTTTTTTGAAATTTTGAAGTCTTTTTTTTACTTTCCCCAAAAATAATCATTTCGTCAACACAAGCAAAAAGTTTTTTGAATCATTGAAATCGGATGTTAAGTTCTCTCAAAAACTGCAATTTTTTGTACATTCAGCTCCGCATCTCCGAGACCGTCTATGGTAAAAACTAATCAGCATTTCTCCCCATCATTACGAATTGCATGTTTTTTGAATCATTCAAATCTTTTGTTCTCTCAAAAACTCGATTTCTATTTTCTGCACTCTTTGTTCCGTATCTCCGAAACGGCTGGACCTGACCTTACCAAAAACTAATCATCACGTCTTCCCATCAGTAGGAATCGATTTTTTTTGTAATATTTTAAATCGGTGCGCCCGAAAACGTAGACGAAATATTGTGGACACACAAAACTCACATACACATCAGTTTTTTCTGAGGTATGCCAAAATGTTCAGAAACCTCTGAAACGTGAAGACATGCAAACATTTTCAATTTCGATTTTTAGGACGATTACAATGAAAAGTCAACTAGGTGTAAGTGAAGCTATGAAAAGTCAACTAGGTGTAAGTGTTATTTTTTGATAAGACAATTTGCAAAAACTAATTGATATGTGTATACAATCGACTTAATAAGAATTAAAAATAAAAATGTTGAAAAAAAGACTTTAAAATAGTCTTTTATCTATAGTTTTACTTGTGCAATTCAGGACATGTGCAGAAACTCTTATATAATAATAATAAAAAAATGAGACTCCTCATTATTTCAAAATTTGATGAATTTTTATAACTAAACCGATTTTGTTGACATATAACATTTTAGAATGTTCGTCAAGACGCCGATTTCTATTATCATGAAAAGTTTAAAAAAATAAACAATTAACTACAAAGACATTGATTGTCTAATATTTACCAAAAGCTAACTAGCACGATAAC